AAACAATGTCAACGTTCAATTATCAGATAAAAATATTAGAAAAGAAAAATCATCGAAACTGTTTAAAGATTTCATAACATTTTATGAAATCACGCATGTACATGTAATATATAAAAACGATGTCAACTTTAACTAACCTTCAGATATCGGGTTCACCAGGTTCAAAACAGACACCAGCTGTCAGCTGTTTATATTTTTTGCTGTAGATTTATTTTTAAGAATAATATTTTTGCGAATGCAATGCACGCACAAATTTGCTAAAAATTTATCTACAGTAAAAATTTCCAGATTTACGGTATGGGAATTTTTAACTTTATGTTAAAAATGTATAGCCATTGACCGGATACATTTTAAATGTTAATTGTACAGCAGCTATAATAAGCATTTACTTTAGCTGCTCAAATGAATATCAAACTTAGCTGTTGTTTGTTCTTTTCCACGGCACACTCTCCTACTTTTTTCAGATAATCAGAGAAATAATTTTTGATCATAAATTAACCTTTAAATTTTACAAATGTTTAAATCCAAGTTCTTCAAAGACGTGTGTTTTTAAAGATTTGAAATTATAAATACTAACTTTTAGCTTGGTTATCTTCTCTCCCCCGTACCACATTTGGTTAAGAATGTTTTTCACAACTTCATTGTCAAGAAAAATTCGGTTTTCCGTTTGAATGCCACCAGTAAGATAACCATGATTAAGAAGAAGTCTGCCAGAATGTTGAATATTTGCTCCTACTTCTATTTTCTCCTTTTTATCGACTTCATTCTTTTTATTTTCCTCTGTTTGTGCTTGTTGATCTTTTTGTTTATCAGCTTCATGAACACAGCTGATGATACGAATTGCTTGGTGTGTGAATTTTCTATTAATAAAAAATAATAAACATTGATAAACATAAGAAGATAATTAAAAAATATAGGCAGTGCATAAGTGCGAGTCTATTAAACAAGAAACCATCTTAGTGTCTATATAATTCTTTGGTATATAAACTGTTTTCCTTACTAGTATTATATCAATAAGTGGTTGATATGAGATTTATTGACATGTAATGGTTATACATGTAGTTAGATTAATTTATATTCAAAATAACAAACTGACTAAAATAAGAATTTACTTTCTATTTAAATTGGTATGAAAATAACATCTCGATGTTCCTGAATTTAATATTAATTTTCATATAACGTTGACTTTGAATGAAGTTTAGATAATTGGTATATAGTTTTTGCAGTATACTCTTCTGGAGATGATGTTACAAGAAGTTTTTAGCTTTATTCTTCTGTTATCGTTTTTTTAATGTATATGTCAAAAGCTTTTTCTGAAATTCTCTACACCTACTTTATCATTAGCTGAAATTTTTCTTTATCTGCTTCACTTGTTCTCCAGTCATCAACGGCTTCTTGTAGAATGACACAGCCAACAAGAATAAAGTGAATACGCACCTGTTAATTACATAAGCATCAAGAATAAATTGAATACACACCTGTAAATTACAGAAACAACAAGAATAAAGGGAATTCGCACCTGTTAATTACAAAGGCAATAAGAATAAGCAAATACGCACTTAGTAGTTATACAGCTGAAGAGAATAAAATGAGCACCTTTTCATTACAGTCAAATTATGCTGTCGTTTTTTTTAAAAGATTATATAGCAAATCGTTTTGCTAGGATTTTTAGTCATAATTAAGTTATTTAATTTCCAATCCCGAATCCATGCAATGAATAAATAAATATAATAATAATAAATTAATGAATTAAATGATTAAAAGTGATTAAATTAAAAAAAAAAATTAAAAAAACAAACTTACGCATCCTGTTTCAATGAATTGCTTAGCACCTGTGTAAAATTTTTCTTTCAACAAAGCTAGAAAGATCAATCCAAACAAGCCAGAGATTGAGATCTGTAGCTTATCACCTAGAACAAAATTGATATTCTATAATTATAAATCAGTTATAGGAAAGAAAAACAGAAATAATACATAATTAAACACTTATTCATGTAATTTAGGTATGAATTCATAAGCTATCCAAGATATACTGTATTACTTGAATTTGGGCAGTTTAAGCTGTATAAACCATATGATTTAATTTGCTATCATTTATATTGTATAAAACTATTTTCCCCCCAAGAATGCTTTCAAACTATACAAATTTTAATTGTACACGTAACTTCTAAAAACAAATTATACGTTTTTGACGCAAAACATTGCGACGTATGTAAATTAGTTTTTGCGATATTAACAAAATACTGTATCCAATTAAATTGCAAGTTGAATTAAATAACGGATAAAAACCTACCATTCCAAACAGGTGGCAGGTATACATTTTTTGTTGACTCCTTTAAATCCACCCAAAGACCATTTTCGAACTCATGTGCCATGTCCTTTGAAATACATTAACAGGAGAAAAAAATAGCAAATTGTTCTTTCAAAAAACATGCATAATTTTCTTTAGGTCGGGAGATTATTCCCAAAAGATGCAATAAATAATGACTTTGTTCGAGTATTTCGAACTTTTTCCAGAACCTTGCATACCTTTTCAAATATATATTCAATGGAACGATGGCTGAAAAAGTCCTTTATGTTGTCTTTTGGAATTTTCCATTTTCCTGTTTTTAGAAGGTACATACAAAGAGGATTGGCATATTTTTCCTAAATTATAAAATGATTTTTTTAATAATTGGGTTTTCCATATTTAATACTCTTTTTATTTATTTTAAACATTTGTTAATCAGCAAAGTTTGATCTTATATGAGAAAACAAAGACGTTTGATCTCTTCATTTTATCATTATCTTCAGATATGAAAATAAAATAAATGTAATTTATTTTGGCAAAAATGTATGTCAATTGAAACAAAATAAAAAGAAATAGGAAATAAAGGCAAAAAATACCAAAATGAGCTATTAAAATACCCATCAATAGTACTTTTTCCCAAGTATTTAAGAACGAAAGCCCCAAAGAATTTCGTTTCCAAAGAGAGGGATCTATATCTTAAAATATGTGTGTTTCAATCCTCAAGATAACATTCATAAAATAATGATTAAATAGAGCCTAAATAATTTTATTAAAAGACAGAAAGTCGAAAGCTTTTTAAAGGAATTTTCCTAGGAACTGTTTTTACCTTGAACATCGTTGGAGTTCTTTCTGTCATGCACACTGTAAGAAATACATGGTTCAAAAAAGCCACCAGACATGCAAATCTATATCATAATTTGTTTAATTGATTAATTTATTGTTTTTACTATAGAACCACCCCCACACTCACACAAAAATAAAAGAAAAAGAATGGCAGTATGTGTTTGTTTTTCCTAAACATTCAATAAAACATGAATACTGTATTATGTACTAACTAAGGCATAGACCCCATACAAACATTTGAGTGAAACATTTTCTTTTAAGGATCCTCTTTACAATACACATTAAAGAAATTTAATTTCATTATATTTTCATCAACTAAGAGTTGTCTGGTCTTTGATATATAAACAAATGTACGGAGTATTTCTCAATTTGTAATATATCCAAGCATACTTTACATTTTTATATGCCAATAGACTCATTATTTACACCTTTACATCATATAATTTTCTCTATATTCAAAGAAATCGTTCATCAGTGTATAGAGGGGCTCTTTACTTGAATTATATTATAAACCTGTGATTTTTCTTCTATAAGCTACTATCTTATCACATGACTTTAATTAATTGGAATAACATTGTATACCCCCCCCCCCCTGTACGGAATTTGGTTCGGTCACATTATTTGACAGTCACGTGATAAATGCATAAAATATTTACTGTATGTAGGTCATAAACAAATTTCAATATCACAATGGCATACCCTAGTTAGAATTAAAAATTTCAGTAATATATTGTATCTATATAACTTGTAGTTTATAAAAAGTGCTGCTGCTTTCAATAGAATTCGAATTTTATTAGTTTAAATTTCAAGTTATTTGGCTCTAGTCGAAATATGTGTGACCTTTACCAGGTATATTATTTATTTTTTAAGTAATGTTCTCGAATTCGGGAAAGCGACAGCACTTTTAAAGTTAAGGAATGTTTCCGTTATGCATATTCAAAAAATAATCAGGATCTATTAAGTATATGCCCTTGCGAAAAGGCGATTTAATGAGGCACCTCGGCATGAAACATACACACCCTGTAAACAAAAACACGTAGAGTTAATTCAATACATTCTCTCGATAGTTTTTAAATAATGGCTCTAAACAAAGGTTTCAGATTTGTATTAATGGTCTACCTAAGATTTGAAAATAATATTCTGTTTGATAATAAAATGCTTTTTTCACTGTTGAAAAATTACTTGATCCACCTCTCACTGCACTCAAAATGCGTCAAATTTTACTATGATGGCGTCATGTCGACAAGTGCATTGCGATCAGTGATTTGTTTATATCTTCCTATGTGGGATTTAACTAGCGACAAAAATGAATGCAGTGGTAAGTTTTGATGTAGTTCATCAATTTTAGCCAGTTTAAAACCGCACATTATTTCATTTTCTTATATTGTGAGGAATTGCTATTTTTGTGTGATGTCACAGGAGACATTTTCCGTATAAATTAGGCCTTGCCCCCTTTATTCAGCCTTAACAGAGCTGCGAATTAGGAATAATATATAATCAACACAATTTGTGTAAGACTCCTTCCAGTGAGTCAAATTCCTGATGAAAAACGTCCTGTCATATAAGGTAAAATTTTATTAAGCATAATTAGCTTCTATTTTCTTTTCAGGAACTATCTCAGTTGTTTGTATTTAGTAATCACCTTTTATATATACATACCAGCAATAACCATGCAACATACTATTGCATCCAATTCGTAAAGGTCATGTGGAATTTCATCTGTGAAGGAAATTTCACATTCGTCATCCTTGAGTATGGACTCCGTATTGTGAAACACTCGGGCGTCGAATTCCCTCTTTACTTTCCAAGGAATGTTAATATTAAATAAGTATTCCGTTGCTAATAAAACATGGGTATATTCTTCTCTGTTAAAATTATCCCGATAATAATCAATCAAGGTCACGCTTGCATCTTTGGTAGATTTCTTCGTAGCAAAAATGAAAACAAGAAATAAAAAAAAAATGTCATTGCAATATATATCTATATTGTGTGATTTGATATTTGCTTCATCCAACTCTTTGAAATGGTGTATTTTCGCCAGGCTTGCCGAGCGAAGATACACCATTTCAACGCGTTGGATAAAGCATATATCAAATCACATACTTTTAGATGATCTGTTTATCTCTGTGAAACTATGTGGATTGATTTCTACCCAAATCGATGAAGCGTAAATATTCTCGTCACGTCATTGATAATTTAAAAGCAATTACAGAGTCAACAGGGCTGAATTAAAAAAAATGACCAAACGCATATTTATCTACCCACACTAAAAATACAGGCAATGAAAATAGATTTCTATGTCTTAGCATATGTCTTTAGATTGTGTTTAAATACCTGCCGAATATCTCGTAGATATCTCAATTAACAAAAACGTTATGCCCAAAAATGATGCTAAAATTGTTAGGAGTGCAACAGCTTTTTGTGACTTTTTGAAATTTCAATATTTTTTGGAGATTTGTGAAATAAATAATAATGCTTTATGTTGGAAATAAAGACTTTCCTGATAATAGTCAAAGTATTGAGCTTTAAATGTGGACTGTAGTAACTTTTGTTTAATCAAGTTTTGATCATGACTGATGTTTGAAAAATTGTTATACCATGTCAGGAGTGCAACAGAAAAAATGTAGTGTTGCCAAAAAAAAAAAAACATCAATTGTAAAATTCTGAAAGAAAATTAAAACAAAAATGAATTTTTAAGTGTAAAACAATAACTGATAAACATTCTAAAACTTAAATATTGTTATATAAATCACAAGCAGCATTAATGAGAGTCAAGTATATGTGCACACCCAATAATGTCAGGAGTGCAACATTTGATATTTTGCTCCAAAGCATGAAAAAACTATGATCATTATATGATTTTCTGATTTTTATTTTGGAAAATAAAGACACAAAGAACATTTTAACCAAATAGATTTATCAATTACAGGATCTCTCTGTGCTTCAGGTCTATATTTCTATGGTCAGGAGTGCAACACATTTTTTAAAGATTCAAGTTGTATGACTAAAACACTTCCATTCATGCTTAGAAGTATTCATTAATTGATAATGATGTTTTTGTATAATTTGATACTAAATAATTGACAGTTTTATTATTAAAATCCTTCCTTTTCCAATTTTATCAATTCAGATGTGTTTTTATCTTTTTGTGCTTTTTTGATTGAATATTAAAAATAAACACACTAAAAATTGTTAAAAAATTTCAAGTAATTCCTATTCAACTTCACCGAAAAAAAAAGAACAAGATCTTATGTAATTTTCACTTCACAATTTTACTTTAAAGGCCCAAATGCTTTTTGTAAGGAGTGCAACAAATATGTTAGAATTATAAATCATCCAATAAGAATAAAAATACAGAAAAAATGATGAGTAGAATTTTTCTAGTGGGTTACTGTGTTTGTCCTCTAAGGGAAAATATGCTATAAAATATATTTTATCTTCTAAATATACATTTAAGCTAGTTTTTTTGGCATAAATAGGGAATAATTCCAAAAAGATGCGAATTTCAAATACTTTCATCTGTTTTAATTATGAAGTATTGGACAATAAATATTGCACAATTTCATTACCACTTGATATTGCCAACACTTTATGAATTTTTATGTTCTATGGTTTTAATTTTAAATTTTACTGCAGTCAGGAGAGCAACAAAACTCTTTTATAATTACCAATGTTTTTATCTATCTTTACTAAAAAATAAGTTGAAAAAAAAATGTTTGATACTATTTGATGTTCAAAACATTATGTCTATCAACAAATTACAGAAATTTTCAGTCAATTCAGGGAATAGTTTTCATCATTTTCACATATATTTTTAAATGCAATTTGTATATATTACACTTTGCAAATAACCATGTTTTAAGGTCTTCAAAATATGAAAAATATGCCGTAAGTGATGAAAAATATCAAAACGACAAATTGATTTACAAAGTAAGAATGGGTTACTGTGTGTTATGATTTTTATAACAATGTTAAATAAAATACATATCATATGTCAGGAGTGCAACACAATAATGTAACATAGGGTCACCTCAAAATCTAGTATTTTTTGTAAGAGAACTCGTATATAAAATTCTTTTTTTACTTAGATTCAAAGAATTGACTTGAACAGACAAAAGCAAATGAATTTCAGGGAATTTTATTGCTTCATATGTTTTTCATATTAAAACTTTTCAAACCAGAATTGAAATAATAATGTAAAATAACAATCAAAAAGCCAATTTTTTGGATACTCAATCAATGTCTAGATTTAATCATTTATACCCCTTTTACCATTTTGAAGCATAAAAAAACTATAATTTCTTGTGATCATGTATTTTAGAGGGTCTTTAAAAGTGTAATGATATTTTCTTTTTTCAAAAGACATTTTACTAACAAAAATTCTGAAACTTTTTAATCCAATTGTCTATTCTATTGCCACTTCAGGATTTTAAGCTAAAATGCATGTGCAATATGATGATATAAGTGAAAAAATATGTTATAAATAGTTGAATTTTTCCCAAAAATTTCAGTTTGGTGGTCATTTATTTTAATTCACCCACAAATAACCTTATTCTAAGCGGCACAGAGAGATTCAAGAGAACCAAATATTTATAGATTTGAGATATTGTTTATTTGTTACATGTACCTTGGAAGATAATATAGGAAATTTCATGTCAACTGCATTTGCAACAATTTGTTTCTGGAAACCTCCGTTGTCAAGCGATAAAGCAACAGGCAACACCACGTGTCCACAAATAGCTGTAAATTAGTGAAAATGGCCTTTACATAATATCCAAAATAAATAAAAACTTTTTTTAATTAGTACTTCATTTTCAATATTTGTTTTCATATTTTAAATGGTTTGACTTAATTTTCATTTTCATCTATTGCATTTTTGTAAGAATGTTGATTAAAAGCGTCAATGTTTATACAGTATATGTTTTAATTCGATTTCTTAACTTTGTCTTTCATGAATTGGAATTGTTTTATATTTGTTGTACATAAATGAAATACAAAACACAAACGAAAGTGTACTAAAATTTCTTTAAAATATAAAGATTCTTCATTAGTAAAAAAAAAAAGGTAGACCGTACAAAACTTAGCAATCCATTTAAAATTGCATTAGAAAAGAAACCAACTACGGTCATTTTCATATTAATCATACGTCAATGCAATACCTTCGATCATGCGTTGGAAATATTTCACTTCATTTTCTTTCCATTTTGAATCGCCTCTTTCAAATGCATATTCTCCCATTTTAACCAACATCTAGACATTGAATAAGGATTTAAAATATATCCAAAATTTATCATAACTAATACCTTTAATAACATATGCCCTTTACCTTACACCACTACTTATAGGATAAAAAATACTACGATAGATTTCTAAATATCATAATCACTTAATAATGATATACTTGTATTGTTTCCTTGGTTGTTTTCTGGTGAATAATCACTTTATCCTGATAGAACAAGGTTTTCCCAACGACGTCCAAGCACGGCAACCCCGCTTTTTCTAATTAAAAAAAACAAATATGTCTCATCACAGAAGAGTCGAATTTATAATTTTTTTAAATAACCACCGATTTTTTTTTACATACTTGACACACTTCGTATATTGCGGAGGAGTCTGTTTCTACCCTCCATCGTCTTGCGCTCATTTTCTGCTTGTTCGCTGTCTATATCTTTGTAAGGGTTGCTAGCAAACAGAAGATACAGTAGGACTTTCTCTTGTTTAAGCTGCGGTTCGTTCTCATTTAACCAGAAATCGACGGAAATCTGAAACGACGTAAGCAATAGACATTTTAACGTTAGAAGTCAAGCGAAGGGGCAATTAAAAGCACAAGCTGTTACAAGAATACAGTATTATTCTGAAAAAAATAATAGCTTTCCCAAAGGATGGACAAAATAGCTAACAAATTATATACCAGATTAGGTAGAACTCAAAGATATCTTTAAAATATTATTTTTTATTGTATCGTTAAACAACCGAAAATAAACAACATTGAATTTGTTACTGTAGATTTTACTATTCTATAGACATTTCTTCAATCCTTGCTTGAAGACCATAAAATGTTTCTTTCAAATCAATATATATATATACTACGAAGTGTGTGGATTTATATTATATATTTCTATATATATATATATATATATATATATATATATATATATATATATATATATATATATATATATATATATATATATATATATATATATATATATATATATATAATTCCAAAGCTAAAAGATAAAAGACTCAGAAGAAAATTTAAACAGTATATTCGTTATAAAGTTATTAAGTTTTCAAACTAAAGAGAAAACACATTTTAGTTTACGTTTGTTTGATTTTAATTAGAATTTTTGTACATGATTAACAAAAGAAATAAGCTATGAATTTTATTCTTCTCCCAGATAATTGTTCAGTACTCAAATACACCTTGGTCAAGTTTGGAGAACAGTTTCATATATCAATATTGAATTCTTAATAAAAAAAAAAAGAAAGAAAAAAAAAAAGTTAAAGTGTATTTTAATCACACTCTGTTAATAGTAAGCAGTACAGCTAGAGACTCAAAAGTTACTTCTGCTTGAGAAACATTCTTTAGTTAAAACCAAAGGATTTACACGTGTTAATGATAAACTATCTTTTTCATGAATATTTTTTTTTACATACTATTTTAAAAAAAATAATTATATTTCATTTATAAGTGATACAAATCAATAAATGCAGATTGATAAAACTAAAATATTTAGTTTTTGTGTAAGGCACATTTCATTCTTTTGATAATGGTTTTGCATTTCAGTGCAATAATTATGAATGAATTCTATTGTCCTAGATTGGCTTGTAATATTCTGTAAATGTGGATAAAAACATTGCTATCTACATGTAAATTGCTTTAAAATAAAGGCTGAGGGCATTCCTTTTATATTTTTGCATACCTTCGTTTTTCCATCACCAGCCTTGATATATCCATGCATATCTGAAATCAATGTTCACGTCGTTTTTACTTAAATGCAATATTTAAAGTTATGGAGCTGAAACGTTGAAGGAAAAAAAAATAAAACGAAGGCTTACTTTATCAACGACTTTTGATTTTTATTTTTAGCATATCGTAAAATGTACCATAGCCATTGATAATAATTGCTCAAGATATTCTTAATTTAAAATCATAATATCGTCAGATGTTCTTGAGGGGGAAATATCAAAATGGATCGTGCTGTAAAATAATTTTTTTTCATTTTAAAGAATTAAATTCTTTACACGCATTGTATGCAAAATTTGATAAAATTTACGTTAGAATAATTACAAAATTTTTGTTCATGCGAGATTTTTGACTTCCTATGAAAAATTTCATTTCGAAATAAAGTTAACGTCGTTCAAAATTCCTAAATATTTTCTGAAAAAAGTCTAAATTATTCTTCATGAAACATGTCCTTAATAAAAAAAAAATAATAACCTTACTGTTCTTAAAACTTTACAAGAATCTTTTCTGCATACCTTTACCGAGGGTTTTTTTCCCTCTCTGAAATTTATACATGTACGTTTGTCAAATAAAACGACTTCCAAAAAGATATACACTGTTGAATCAAATCTTTTGTGTACGATTACAAATGATTAATTATTATAATAAAGCATGTGATACAATTTACAATTATGGACTGTTAAGTACTTAGACGTCCCAAATTATCAGGTCTGAATAGGGTGGTCCCCCCAGTGCACTTGCGTATCATGCTCTAGACCAATCAGATTGACTGTACTATTCTGAAAGATACTGATTTACCGTCTTGAAGTATCGGAAGATGAGCAGGATAAAATCTAAAGGTTGGCAATAAATCATGCAACTTCAGGTCAGTAAATTTCCATCCGCTCCTAGGATAATCATCGCCGTCCCATTCCACAGAAACAACATTCCTCCCTGCGTTCACTTTATAATTGGTAATTGTTGAAATAGTTCCTTGTTTATTTTCTGTAGATGATAATAACAGAATGTCAATCAAAAAAGACTAATAAGTACTTTGTTTTCTTCCTTATTGGTATCAAAAAGCTTACCATTTGCACTTTCGATTTCGCAGACAGTTGCACCTTCAAATAATCCAAGTGCTTGGATTTTGTTTTCTGATGAAAATGCCGATCTGGGATGATCTAATTTTTCTCTGCAAAATAGACCAAACGCTTAAACAGGAATGCGTGGCATAAGTAAATGAATTAAATCTAGTCAAATTATTTTTTATCGTATACATTCATTAATAGGGAATCTATCATTGTTTAGCATAAGTATAAGTGTTCGTAAATAGTGAGATTATGAAGAAACAAGAGGTACTTTCAAGAGACATTCAATAATCATTCAGTATATTTCTTCTCAAATCCCGCAAAAAGGGCCAACGAATGGGAAAAGTCATGTCCTTATCGTATTTAAGTTCTTAGCAATTTTCTTTTTGTCAAAAATTAATACCTTTGAGAGGGATCAATCATTCGATAGAACCTCAACTTCATTTCTCCTTTACCAGACATGTAACATCTTGAACACAGGTCATAGTCTTTGTTTTCACACTTCCAACGCACGCCTTTAATTTTTTTGCCACATTCATCACATCGTACGTTACTATGTTCAACACCTGTAAAATCAAACTGAATAATAGTAAAGTAGATAATGTTTCAAAAAAATGCTATGAAAAACCTTGATCAATGGAGTTTATTATAATAAATATTTTACCTATTTGACTGTTATCGTAAAGAAAAATTGTTTTCTTCTTTCCAATGTGTTTCACTTTTCCGTCACCATCCCACTGTACGAAGAATTTGGAATCTTTTTCAGTCTATAAGAAAGTTTTTCTCTTAATATAAGTAGAAATACTCAGACTTGAATTCACAATAAAATGGTGACATAAGAACTGAAAAGAACTGTACTGTTGAATGTTTGGATTTTGCATTAAAAAAACACTGTTTAGCTGTTATAGAAATAATAATTAATGTGTTGAAACATTCTTTTAGTCTGCACTTTTACTATAAGAAAAAAATATGATTTTTTTTATTGATACAGACGGTGTGTATGTGTCTTTATTCGATAGAAAGTGTCAATTATCGGTACTTTTGAAGAATAAAACTTACTTCGTTTGAAATTACTGTTCCAACATATTGTTCTTTTTTTCCATCTTTGTGTTTTGCTACAACTCTCATCCCGGGTTTTGCATTGTCTAGATTATTCGAAAAAGCTTTTGAATATCAATATGATAATGAAACGTAAAATACTACTTATATATTTGACTGATTTACCGACAAACCTCATTGGATTATGGTTTCCTTTCCTTACACTTAAAAGTAGTAATTAACGATTCATTAATAAATTCCTATTGTCTGCAAATTTAAAGCTTTTAATCCACAAGTCTATGTCTATTTCATGATCCCCAGCCTTTTATATGTATACAACTTAAATGCCTTAAAATTATGCATAAAAATTCTTGCAAAAAATCAAATCTAACATAGCCATATATTTCATATCATTAAATAAATGTATGCTGTACCGACTTTTCGTCCATTTATTCAAAATTTCATGATTTTTATTTACATTTAAATTTACAAACCTTTTGTAATAATCTGTAAGTGATCTTCATAATATTTGAGTCCTTTTCCTGGCGTCACACATTTTAAATCTACTTTTCCCTCTCTTCCCACTCTGTATCTTTCCTCGCTCCTTGCATCATCCCATTTAACGAACGCATCACAGTTAAACAGATTCGATTCTTCGTTATTAAGTTCTTTTACTGTACCTTTAAAAATAGTCATTCTTTAAAAACTATGGCGTCAAAGTGTACATTAAAGATAAGATGCTATTTCTATTATTACAATCATGCAATGCGAGCTATTGCAATGCATAAGTTTAGTTTACTAGAATGACTCTATTGTTGATGTTTTTAAAATGCATCATCATTCTTTTAAATCATTTCCTCTGAATTTTTGGTTGTTGTTTCAGGATTTTCATTCTTTTTGTTTTGTTTTATGCAGCATAAATTATATGTACAACAATCATTGAGACCTCATTTCATCTACGTAGAGGATTGAATTTTGAATTTAAATCATTTTCTTTTCTTTAGGCAGAGGGTTACCTGTTCTGTTATTGTCTCTTCGTAGTGCTACTCTTGCACCGGGAAATATTCCATAAACATTTTTGTGGTTATTTTCTTTTGAGTCCATACCACGAATTCCAACTTCAATACTGAGACATTAATTCATTGATTAAAAAATATTTCTCTCTCTCATTTTTATAAATATGGATTTTTTAAATGACTTGAAATTAACATCTCTTATTGTCTTTCAATTCTTACCTCCTAGAATTATTGTCTAGTTTTCTGTGAAATGGATGGTTGATATTATGCTTATCAAGCATGTAACATCGCGTACATAAATCGAAGTCTTTACAGTGAAGGCATCTCCATTTTATACCACGTATGGGAAATTCTCTGCAATTGTCACATTCGTAGGCTTCGTGTATAGCTCCTTATAATACAGAATACA